AGAGAGAGAGAGAGAGAGAGAGAGAGAGAGAGAGAGAGAGAGAGAGAGAGAGAGAGAGAGAGAGAGAGAGAGAGAGAGAGAGGATGATGATGATGTGAGGGCACACGCCTGGTCTTGGCGATGGTCTACAGGGTCATCTTCATGTACTTCGGTTGTTGCTGCTGACGTCAACAGGTTGCATTGTCAATTTGTAGGCTGGTAGCAGCTGTGTGATTGTAGTCTGCTCACTGAGCACCAAGTAGGAGGAAGGGCTCTGGATACATATGTTGGTGGTGGCGAGAGTATGCTTTCATTGACATTCAGATTCGGTGCTTTGGTTCTCCGTTGGTGGATTAACGGTGCATTTCTTCTTTCTGGACAGCGTTGGACTTTCTGGCTTTCAATGTGATTTTTCATTCTGGAATTCTGTCGTTTCGCTATCGCTCATTTTCCTTGCAATTTAGTATTGGAGCTGGTTCAAGCCGCTCCGCTGGCTCCTTCGCAATAGCTGTTTGGCGCTTCGCTCGATATGGTGGGGTAGTGATAACGCTTGTGCGTTGGGTTGTGATGGCGGCCCAGTGTCGTGTGGGTGTGCCAGGAAGGCTATGTGGTGACGTAAGGGTGCACACTGGATGATGAGAGCTTGCTGATGTGGCGTTCAAGCCGAGGTGGAACTGCGTTGTATTGTGGGTTGTGCTGAGGCATCGACCGGTCATCATAAATGCATGTCAGGTTACTGGTGAGAAATCTGTGGTTGGGGGCAGCATGATGAGGTACGTTGCTCCTTACCTTATCTACCCTCTTCGTTGCTTCTTACCGTGAGGAAGTGAGCTTTGTCTTGAGAGTCCTCTCATTGTGAGGTGTCGCGAGCGCTCAACCTTGAGAGTCGACATTCTTCCTGGGGAGCAAGCTGGTGGGAGATGGGCGTTGCCTCTGAAGGGCCCTGGACGAAGCACTCGAATCACAGTCACCATGTCAACCCGCTGGGACTAGTACACGCATGCTTTGCCGCTTGTCCTTTGGTCTGCTTGCTGCACTGTAGAAGTCATGTCGGGCAGGCCAGCCCTATGAGGGAGAGACGAGCATCGGACCGTCTATAAAGAAACCCGCCGGGGATACACGACTCGTGTTGTACACGAGTATAAAAGTAGTACGGTCGGGGCTGGCCAGTTCTGTATTGACTTGGGGCACAGGGGTGGGCCGATTGCACACCTTTAGACACGCCGCTGAACCAGAGCTTCAGGATGTTGACACCAAGTGTTTACTCAAGAGGGGTACCGAGGGAGGGGAGATTCCAGTAAACAGTTCAATTGTTAATTATTGTAAAATTACAGTCTGCATGCCCACCAGCAAATGATTTTTTTAATTTTTTTTTGATTACTTAGTTGTGACGGACTTTGCTAACAACTAACGGACGGCAGCAGATAGAGTAGTTAATATTCTTGGCTGCATTGCAGAATTGTTTGTAGGAATCTGAGATTATCTGCTGTCAGCGCTTGGCTACTTTTTCACAAAGCTGGACCAAATATTTATTTTATTTGAGTTTATTTTTAAATCGGTTGGATGCCACACTGCTGTAGGTCCCAGCGAGGACACTAGTGCAGATTGCATGCCGCACATAGCTCATGAGTGGAGAAGATAGTGACGTTGAAGGACTAGACCAGGGAGACAGGAGACTCACCCATAGACTTGCACTCAATTGGCCGGCCACTTGCTTGGTGTTAGAATCAGGAGAGGAAAGGAGACTGCAGAGAGAAGCTAGGGAGAGGGGCATATTGCAGAGGGCTAGGGCAGCAGGAGCCGACGCTGAGAGGGCACTAGCAGCAGCCACAGCAGCAGAAGCTGGAGCCACAGCAGAGGCAACCATGGCTACCGTCTATGCTATTACAGGCCTCTTCTCAGGCTACCTCGTCAGGTACCAGTTTGGGTGTGTCAGGTACTTCCACTAGTCAGTTTGCTGGCTTGCAGGTCAGCCAGCAGCAACCCATGTGAGGATTATGAGATCCAACAAACGAATGCTCTCCATGCAGAGTTACGGCGCGAGTTGCGGGAAGTAAAGGAAAGGAGAGAGAAAGCTAGAACGAGAAAAGCCAAGCTAGAGGCAAGGGCAGAGGAGCTAGGCAAATTATAAGCTATAAATGAGTCGACTCTCGGTCCTGTGGTTCTGTCCCTTCGGAACTCGTTGTTGAGCCCAGCCGAAGTGCAGGCTGTACAACAGGAAATGTTGGCAGCACTGATAGCTGGCCAGAACCAGATTCTGACCGCATTGCGGGCGCCTCGACCTCCGGTGACGCCACCCCAGATTGCTGTAGTTCCCCCTACGGCTGCAGGTCCTTTGATGACACTACCACCGGCAGGGCAGACCTTTGCCCGGCAGTTTGGCATGCCCCCAGCAGGCGGAGTAGTAGCAGGTAGTAGTGGGCAGATTCCTGTACAGCATTCTTCATTTCCCCAATCAGTGGCTGACGCTATAGGCCAGCCACATGTGCAGCAGCCTTTGCAATAGGGTCCGCCGCAACAACAGGTACTGCAGCAGCAGCAAGTGCCGCCGCAGCGGCCTGTTCCACTGGATCCTCAATGGATGGAGCAGGCACAAGGTGCTGTACAGCCCATGTTACCCTTGTTGAGTCCTAAACCCTTCTTTGGCAACAAGCAGATGGACAAGGACCTGGATACCTGCGTGAGGATTGTGCCTACGTATGTGAGGCACAAGCTCAGTAGGACAGAGGAGGAAGTCATCGTTGCTGCATCCTTTCTGGAAGGATCTGCAGCTAGATGGTTGAATGGGTTAGTACATCAACAGGGCTACGACCAGAACTTCGATGGTTGGGCACAGGCCAGATCATTGGAGGAGTTTGCACGGCTGGTCTACCACAGGTGGCATGACCTCCAAGGGGCTCAAAAGGCCACTGACTCGCTTGCAAGTCTGGGATCAAAGAGATACCGGACAGTTCGCGAGGTAACGAACGTTGTAGAGTGACTGATTGTTGTCCCGGGTGTGCGGTATGAACTGCAGGTCCTCTTAACGACTTATTTGAGTTGTCTACCTACAGATGTCAAAAATAAGTTGATCGATGAGGCCTCCATCGACATGCATGACTTTGCTTCATTCAGCAATAACGCCTTAGACATTCAGGCTAGGCTTGGGAGTGCCCAACAGGGACCAGTAGATGGGAGGAAGAAAAAGCTCACTCAGGATTGGAGAACGAAGGGCGATCTTATGTTTGTTGACCACGAGAGCCAAGCAACTGAGGTTGACGACTTCTTTAACACAAATAGATGGGAGTGGGGGGACTTCAGATGGTGGATTAGCCACGCCCATCAGAGAAAAGGGTAAGGGGGCCGGGAAACAAAAGGCAGGCAGGCCCAAGGGTCAAAGTGACCAAGGACCACCCATATGGATGAAGCTTGGTCTGGAGTACGAGGTGTGGCAAGACCGTTTTGCATGAGGCACTTGTCTCACTTGTGGTGAGTATGGGCGCACAATGAGCAAGTGCAAGAGCAAGCGGGTCGCTGGGAAGGTCGCGTCCTCAATTGTGACGGTGGGGTCTTCCAACTCTAGTGGTGCTTCTGCGAGCACTTCTAGGGAAACACCTCGGGCAAGTAGGAGTGTTAGCCGCTCTTACTCGTGCTGAAGCGGTTACTTTACCTTCTCCATTTCAGACAATGGCAAAGGCTATTGACCCCCTGATCGCCCTGAAGACAGATCCGAACCAATCGATGCTCTGTTCGATGGATGTGTCTAAGTCCTTAGAGGAGTTGGAGACCAAGTGGTTAGAGAAAGACCCTAGAGACTCCTGGATGATGTTGAACAAAGGTGCAAAGGGTGAACATTTTGTGGGAGAAGTCAATGTAGGTGGCCGAAAGGTTGGCGCCTTCGCAGACATAGGTTTTACGCGGAATTTCATCAGCCATGCTTGTGTGGATAGGTTGGGCTTAGGGGACCACGTGCAGTGCCTTAGAAGATCTGTAACATCTACCTTACCGAACAAGCACTCTATGATAGTGAAGAACTATGTCAAGGACGTAGTCTGTACCTTCTCCTATGGAGGAGGGGAACTGAGACACAAGATTTGGTTCCTAGTGAGTGGCGAGCTGTCATTTGACATGTTGCTAGGCATGTACTACCTTGAGGTTGCCTTAAGCCTCAGTTTGATTGGGATAGGAAGGCGATGACCCATAAGTTGCTAGATGGGAGGGCCGTTAGGCTGCAGAAGTTTAAGGCTAGCAGACTAGTGGAGAAATGTGGTTGCACGTGCACATCGTCTTTCTATACTACTGCAAGCAGAATCGCGAGGAAGGAATGTACCTAGTCTTTGTCTCTGGGAAAGGGGAGGCTGTAAAATCACCCCCAAAGATAGAAGCAGTCGTTGCACAATATTCAGACCTCTTTGACGAGCCTAGGGGTGTGGTAGAAAGAGAGATTGTCCACGCGATTGAAGTCGTCCCCGGTAGCAAAGTACCTAGAGGGCGGATCTATAGGATGTCTCCTACGGAGTTAGATGAGTTCCACCACCAGCTCAAGAAGCTCATAGAGAAGGGCTGGATTCGGCCAAGTACGTCCCCCTACGGAGCGTCAATTTTATTTGTCCTATAGAAAGGGGAGACCCTAAGGATGTGCATTGACTATAGGGGCCTCAATTCCATCACCGTTAAGAACGAGGAGACCTTACCACGCATCGACGACCTCTTGGGTAGAGTGCAGGGATGCCGGTGCTTCTCAAAGATAGATCTGAAGTCCGGATACAATCAGATTGCCATTAGACCTGAGGACCAGCACAAAACCACTTTTTAGACCAGGTACGGTCTGTACAAGTTTGTGGTGATGCCCTTTGGTATATGCAATGCTCCTGGGATGTTCCAGCACACAATGAGCCGGATCTTTCATGACTACTTAGACAAGTTTATCGTCGCGTACCTCGACGATATCCTTATCTTTAGTAAGACTGTAGAGGAGCACGCTGAGCACGTGAAAACAGTGCTAGGGCTCCTAACAGCGCCGGTACAAGGTTAACTTGGAGAAATGCTAGTTTGGTCACACAAAGATCTTGTATCTAGGCCATGAGATTTCGGTGGATGGACTGAGGCAGGATGATGCCAAAGTGGCCAGCATACGTGACTGGCCCAGGCTTCAGTCTGTGACTGAGGTGAGGTTGTTTTTGTGGATGACGGGCTACTACCGCCAGTTTGTGAAGAACTATAGTACTATAGCCTCCTCTCTAACTGATATCACACGTCTTGACACCAGTGGACAGAAGAGTGTGAGGCAGCCTTCAAGAGATTGAAGTTTGCCCTGACGCACTATGAAGTCCTTAAACTTATCCTGAACTGCCTTTCGATGTGACGACAGATGCCAGCCAATATAGCACAGGAGCGGACCTTGCACAAAAGGAGGGGAAAAAGTTGAGGCCGATTGAGTACATGAGCAAAAAGATGCCATCTCAAAAACTAGCTAAGTCTACGTATGAGCAAGAGCTCTATGCCCTTTATAGCGCGCTGGTCCATTGGAGGCACTACCTCCTGGGCAGATTCTTTTATGTGAGATCTGACCATGAGATGCTGCGTGGGATTAAGACACAGCCTGTGCTCTTCAATGCACTCAAGAGGTGGATTGAAGTCATAAATATGTATGACTTCAAGCGCGACCCTCTGAAAGGAGAGTACAACAAAGTGGCCGATGCACTATCGCGTAGGGCGGACTATGTAGGCTCTCTAGTAAGCCACAATAAAAAAACAGAGTTTGATCCTGGCTAGCAGTGAACGCTAGCCATATGCTTCACACGTGCGAGTCAAACTGAGATGTTTTCTAAGTTGAAAACAACAATGCTTGATAGTGTGTGATGGATGGCAGTCATGTGAGCTGAAGTCTTCGCCACATGGTGGGTACAGAGGGTCATAGGTTTGAATCCTGGCATTTGAGTCAAAATCAGAGTAAAGTGACATGAAAAGCAATCGACCATTATCACCTCATATTACTAGTGCACCCTGCATGTCAATTGTTGGGTCGCTCAGTGCTTCAGTTGCTATCGAGCAAAATGCCCGCATCAGTCCAATTTGTCCCATCAGGTGAGTGCCCAGAATGGGAACGGTGGGACACTCACATCTACATAGTGAGGGACAAGTGAAATATGATTCTTTTCTGTGAAGTATCCTTCTTAGGGCATACTCTCACTAAACTCTTTTCTACTTCGCTTTGGATGTGATTGCAGTCAGATTCATCCAAGTTTGGCCGTAATTGCTGTCATGTACATGTAGGAAAGTGCTAGTGTCAGTATACTATGTTCCCTAATGTGTGGAATGTGGTTCTCAGCTAGGCTACCAGAGTGGCCCCGAACCGCTTGCCCGGCCGGGCCAAAAAATAAATTAAAAAATAATGAATTTTATTTTTTATTTTAAATTTGGTAAAGAATTTCAATGTCACCCTGAGGCAAAAGTTGTTCAGTTTATTTTTCTGCATAACATTGTTTAATTTCGTTTTTTTGTTTTTCTTTTTTTCTTTTTTTCTTTTTTTCTTTTTGTTGCTGGGACCTTCCCTAGTCCTTGCACGGCCGGGCCACCTGGGAAAATAGGGTGACCCGGGTGGCCTGGCTGGTAGCCCAGGTTCTCTGTTTTATAATGCCAAGGCTTATGCCATGGGGTTGCCTGCTGCATATATGGTTGTTGGTGCACTCTGTGTGTGATAACTAGAGGCACATTACAGATCTATTTATCTATCTGTGTGTGGGAAGAGAGAGAGAGAGAGAGAGAGAGAGAGAGAGGATCGTTGTTTCGTTCAAGGGTCTCCCTCTGCGTGTGTGACTCTCTACTGTTCTCCCATGGACACAACACACTCTGGAAATGAATGTGTCCAAGCTATCTTTCCGACCTGGTACAGCCATAATGAGAGGGTGCGTTGTGTTCGGGGGAAGAGGGTACTAGGAAGGGGAAACATAAAGTGACCTAACTGTTGTCTAGCGCTTGTGGACTCTATGGTGAGTGGTGTGCGCGTGGAACTCAGTGATTTCGTTGATTTGCATTGTGGCAGGTTTACTGGTGGCATGACAAGTATCGGCCCAGGAAGCCCAAGTATTTCAACAGGGTCCACACAGGATATGAGTGGAACAAGTACAACCAAACCCATTACGATCATGACAACCCCCCTCCAAAGATTGTCCAAGGCTACAAATTCAATGTATCCTTACTACGAATTTGGCAGTAAGGAAAGAGAGATTTTATTTGTTTACAACTTTACATGTGCATATCACATCCCGCCGAATCGGATTATCTGTCCCTCGGGACAGTGTGACGCTCCCTCCACCTCATTCCTGTAAATGCAGGAGGAGGATGGGAGACAACCACGGGAGCAAAGGAGAAGGAATAAGAATAGAAGCATGGGATGTAGGAGCAGAGGCAGGAGGAGGAGGAGGAGGAGGAGGAGGAGGAGGAGGAACAGGAGGACGGGACACAGGACGGGACATGGTAGGAGGAAGAGGAAGCAGGTGCATTGGAGGAGGAGGAAGAGTAGGAGGAGGAGGAGGAGGAGGAGGAGGAGGAGGTGGAGGAGGAACAGGAGAATGCAGCACAGGAAGGGACAGTGAAAGGAGGAAGAGGAAGCAGGTGCATTGGAGGAGGAAGAAGAGTAGTAAGAGGAGGAGGAGGAGGAAGAGAGGGAGGAAGAGAGGGAGGAGGAGGGGGAGGAGGAGGAGGAGGAGGAGGAGGACGCGACACAGGAAGAGACGGTGGCAGGAGGAAGAGGAAGAAGGCGCATTGGAGAAGGGAGAAGAGTGAGACAAGGAGGAGGAGGAGGAGGAGGAGGAGGAGGAAGAGGAAGAGGAAGGGAGTCAGATAGAAGAAGAAGTCAGTTTGCAAGTGGGAGAAGGTTGCAGAGGAGGAAAGGCCAATCGTTGAGGTTCTGACATGTCTTTGCTTCCTATTATTACTTGTCAGAGGCAGATGAGGAGGAGGAGGAGGATGAAGAGGACCCAGAAGAGGGAGAGGCCTGTGATTGAGGTCCTCACACATCTTTGCGCTTTGATATTTCCCATCCTTGTTTTCAATGTTTTGTTGTTGTTGTTTGTAACCGCTTTGTTTTTCTCTCATTGTTTCAGGTATTCTTCGTACCTGCCCTGCTATGCAGCACAACTATTGTTGTGCTTTTGTTCAATAGTTCTTCCTCCACCTTTCCAGGTCCAGGAGGAAGGCTCTTCTTATTCGTCTGCAGAATCTTACCGACCGTCTTCGCCCCCTGTAAGCATTGGTTAGGATGAGTGTCACATCATCATATGAATATTGGTGTCGAGTGCAGCCACCCGTCGGCTTTTTCTCTCTCGTTCATTGTCCTTAATGACTCCTTCCTGTTCAGATCTTCTATCCTGATTTGATCGACAAGACTAAAGCACCGACATATGTTATCGAGCGAGATGGAAGTGCCAACGGCGAGACGTGTCTGATTCGCTTTCATGCGGGTCCTCCATACGAGGTGAGAATTCATCCGAAAATATAGTGAGCCTTCATCATAAAATCTCTCTTTGTGGCTGCCCCTTTGAAAACAGTTTTTTTGTGGAATCATCGACGGGCTTCGCTCGCATGCCACCTCGCGTCACGTATTGGTCAAGTATTCAGCCTTCTGTTTGCAGCAAGCTGCAGGTTGCAGTCTCGAGTCCCGGGCTTGAGCAATTCGGACTTCGGAGCTTCAATAGGAAAAAACTTTTTGCACCGCATACCCAAATTTGATCGGCAGACTTGGCACGCACAACCTGGGTCCAACACAGCTCATCAGGGACGATGTCATGGCAATCGAGTAGGGCACCACGGGTTCATCCATCATACTCACCATGCCGGTGTGGGGTGAAGTTGGGATAAACAGCAGTCTTCATTTTCATCTCAGCTCACTCTGCAATGTGTCTGCATCCTGGTCAAGTATTGCACACCTGCAACCTGTGGGCCATGTTTTGGACCACAGGTTGCAGGTTGGACTTCCGGAGTGAGCGATTTGAACTTCGGAGCTTGGAAAGGAAGARGRGRGGSGGGGGGGGGGGGGGGGGGGGGGGCCAAGATAGATTCTCTTTTTTTTTYTTTTTTTGTGATTTTTTTTTTGTGATTCTGCCCAATTCTCTCGGATGCAAAACTCAGCTCCGAGAGAATGGTGTTCATTGCAATTCAAAGAAGTGGAATGCGACAAAGAAGTGAAGTGAATGAAGAAGAAGAAGACAAGATTAGATCATCATCCCTCACACTTTTTCATTATTGAATGAAATAAGTTCAAATAACAATGAATGAATGAATGAATGAACTACAGGCTACGTGACACCCGCGGCCGCGGGCAATTTGGCCGCTGCGGCCTTAAAAGTCGGCTGCGGCCGTGGTCAGGAGGCCCAGTTCGCGGCCTGTTTTTTAAACTTCTTTTAGATTTTTTTTTTTAGGGTTAAAAAATAGGGAAAAAAATAATTATAAAATATGGGGTTGCTGGTAGGACAAGGGGTCCTCACCCTACTACACAAAAAAGGCGACCGGATGGACATTAAAAACTATCGCCCGATAACCCTACTCACAGTCGTCTACAAAATGTTGGCTAAAGCCTTGGCGAACCGTCTGATCCCGGTTCTGGAAGATATTATCCACCCGGCACAGACTGGGTTTGTCAAGGGACGCAGGATTCACGACAACATTTTGCTGGTCAATGAGATCCTCAAGTTAACGAGGCAGGACAAGAGCAACGCTGCCGTGGTCTTCATCGATTTCGAAAAAGCATACCACCACATGGACTGGACCTTCTTAGATAGGTGCATGCAGAAAATGAATATTGGGCCAATCTTCCGACGCTGGACTGAGATCCTTAATCACAACGCTACGACGAGCGTCCAGGTCAACGGTCGGATGGCACCAGTAATTTCACTGCAATGGTCGGTCCACCAAGGAGACCCCTTGGACCCCTTCCTTTTTATCATTGTGATGGAGGCATTGGCAGCGAACCTCCGTACTAACAAAGATCTCAGAAAGTTATAGATCTCTGCCATATCTGAGGAGGCGATCCCCGTATGTTCGATGTTCGCGGATGACCTGAGAGTACTAGTGGACGCCACCCCCGAGAACATGGAAGAGATTAAACATTTGTTGGACCGATTCACGACAGTTTCGGATATGACAGTCAATTGGGGGAATAAAACACTGGGTGGTGGATCCATCACCAAGGAGTCCGTCCGCCGGAACAGCTGCGGGTGAAATGGCTCCCGGAAAACGCCCCGGTCAGAGTATTGGGCATAATGTTGACGACATCGGGGAAACCAGCATCAAACGACGAATGGATCCTTAAACCGGCATTGGAAAAACTGGCACAGTGGAACGACAAGCATACATCCTTGATTGGCAGAGCACTGGCAATTAACAACGCAGTCTTAGCAGCCCTCTGGTATAGATCGGCCCTTTGGGCCCTCAGTAAAGATGCGGTTAGATCACTAAAGAGGCAAAGTGCTGCCCTGCTGTGGAGAGGCAATAGCGAACTTCCAAACATCATAAGTAGAGTGGCTTGGTCATCGGTGATCCAGCCCAAGGACAAAGGGGGTTTGGGCACCCTGGACCCAGTCATCCAGGTGGCCACGCTGATGGTGCAATGGATCAGACGACTCGTATTTACGCCGGACCTTCCCTGGTACTCTCTCGCTCTTGAACAGATTGCTAGATTGGCACCGCAAGCCCCACGAGGTCTGGATCCCCTAACCTGGCTCGAGGACCGATATCGGTCCATACTGCGGCGCCCTCGGGTCAACAGAGACTCCATTCGTGGAGTGGCGAGGAGCGACCTGGCCAAAGATGATTTCTGGCCCCGAGTGCTGAAGGCCTGGCGCCAACTGCTACTGCCAGAAAAAAACACGCCGAACAGATGGGAAGAAGTGATGAGGCAACCCCTCTTCGGCAACAAAAATATCACTGATAGAAATGGTAGGGTACACCGCAGTTCGGACCCCCCGTGGAGCAGCTGGGTCAGAAACGGTATAGTAAGGATCAAAGACATACGGGACCCGGCGAGCAGAGACTGGAAGACCGTGCCACAGTTGCGGGTTCAGATGAGGTACTGTCATGACATCGAAAAGAACCTAGAAACCCTGATCTTGACATTCCTCTTGACTGGGTACGCACCCTTCGAAAGGGACCGCGGCTAGTGATAGGAGATTGGGTCGCAGCCCCGAATGACACGCAAAGTGTTGGCAGGGTGGTGGATGTGCGGGCAGACGAATCCCAGGTCAAACTCTTCCATAAGGGAAAGGACAACATTCTCACCTTGCACTCCCCGGATACAGTTAGGTGGTGGAAGAATGAAGAGTTGCACAGAATCCGGGTACTGGGACACAAAGACGAATGGACTGCATATCGCCCCGAGTCCCCCCTTGCTGAACTCTCCTTCGATCCGGCGGAGTGGTGCTGGACGCCTGCACGCAGAACACAAGCCAGTCCGAACATAAACCTCCTGGGCCTGTCCGTCAAGGCCACCTACCGGCTGCTGAGGCCAAAAGTGAATCTTAAAGAGGTAGTGAAAGCCCGCTGGATAGCCCACCTGAACTTAAATCAGGGGACCGTACGCCCGATTCGATGGTTCTCAACCATGAGACCCAAACCGGCGGAATTCGCGTTGTTGCAGTGGCAGATAGAGCACCGCTGCCTTCCGACAAATAATTGGCTGATAGATCGTACGTTCCTGGAGCAGAAGGGTCTGGCGCTCCCCTGGTGCAGATCCTACCAAAATGCCTTCCCCTCCCGGAAGATCCTGGAAACTATTGAACATATCTTCCTACAGTGCCCGGGCGCGGTCCTCACTTGGCGCTGGTGGGATAGGATATGGAGCCTCCTGGGCACTGAATCGAACTCGCCGTGGGATTGGAGGGCGCTCCTTTGCGAAGCATGGACCTCCCCCACGGACAGCGAGTTTGAAAACAATATGTTTAAAATAGGGAGGAGAGCGGTTATTTGGACACCTTGGAGGAAGCGCTGCACCTACACCATCGAGGGGGTCCGTATGGAAGGAGAGGAAGTAACGGAAATAATTAAACAGTATATACAACAAGAACTCCTCTCTCGATGGCAGAAGGTAAAGAACCGATTACAGAAGTATCACCTAAAGAAAGACATCATACAAGCAATTAACCATTTCTCAGGGGACTGGCTGGGCAGCGAAAATGGGGGCTGGATCGCCTACATCCAATGGGAGGGCGGACAGTCTCCCGGACAGGAACAGGCAGACTTCAAGAGGGACTACTGCATCTTCTTCAAAGACTGGACTAAAGTGGACCAAGGCGTGCCGCTGCGCCCACCCGCAGATTTCCCGGACCCCTTCCCCCCCAATCAGCTTTCCGTAGTAGATATGCAATGGTACGGGTGCCGAATAGGCAGAAGAGATGTATCTTCTTCAAGGAAGGGAAGGACCTTTGAAGGTTTTAGGGGGAGGAGTGGAAACAGGAGCGCGATGGCTGCTCTGGAGATACATGCAGTAACCGACAGCCTCTAGCTGAGAGGAGCAACCAGGGGCAGAATAAGGACATAACAGCCACATAAAAAAGCTTAGCTGCAATAGGCTAACTTAGGCAGGGGTGAGGGGTGGTACATCCTTCTTGAAGGAAGCAATCAATGCCGCCCACTCGGGCCTCTCAACCTTAATGGGGAGGAGCGTGGTGTGAGTCAACTTTGTACTATTCAATGACTTGCCGGGGGAATAGGAACCGGACTGTTGCTCCCCAGAATGGCAGGAGCCAGACCTGAGAGGTTCTGGGAAAAAAAAAA